GCAGCCTGGTTCAGCGCGGCGTTGAGGCTCCTCCTGAAATCGTCGAAGTTGTGGGATTTGATGCCGGCGAAGGTGAGGGGAAGGACGTGGAAGGTGTTGGCGAGCTGGGTCGGCGCCTTCCCAATCTCCAGGTGGCCGAAGAGCTCCTTGAACCGGCCCTTGTGCGCCACGTCGTAGTAGTGCGCCAGCGTGTCTATCCAGAGCGTTTTCCCCATCCGCCGATTCCTCAGCGACACCACGGCCTTGGCCTTGAGCGCTTCCAAGAGGGGGATGAAGCCCGTTCTATCGACCCAAAACATTCCATTCTCTTGCGAGAAGACGCTTGGAAAGCTCCCATCACCGTAGGCAAACTGGGATTCTGGTGGCGTTGGGGGGTCGTCGCTGGACGAAAATCATCAAATCATCAGCAGGAGGGATTTGTTGGGGGGGGGGGCAAAGAGAAATGACCCATGTACCGTAAGATTGTTGTCCGCCCGCAAAGGAAGCCTTCGCCGCCGACGTGTGACGCCAACTGAGAAAAAGGTCACGAGCAACAGGCAGCTGGGAACGCTTCGTGTCGTAACATGGTTGTTGATATTAGGCGATCGTGGGACAATTACCGCCGCCGGGCGTGTCGCATGGTGGGGCCGCATGAAAGTCAAAAGGGTAATACTTCCACGCCATCCGTTGCACACTCAACAAGGCGTGCACTTCGTCGCTGTTCTTCTTCGCCAGCGCATTCGGAATCTATGTATGCGCGAACCACAAGACACATGATACGCACACGTTTTTAAAGACGTGAAAATGTTTGTAGAATGTTGTTGCCATGAATACGGCGTGGACGGGCTGGCGTACATTTTCCTCGTGTTCGTAGTTGTAGTGGAACACGACGTACTCCTCCGTGCGTCGGTCGTAACCCTTGGCCTCTCGCCGCGACCCGTACCACACACAGGTCTTCTCCGAACCTGGTAGCGCCGCCATACACAACAATGAGAAGGCAACGAAGGGCGCGGCGGCCTTGAAGACGATGAAAAAAAAACAAAAAAACAATGACTGAGTACCCAGTCGCTCGAGCACGTAAGGGCCCGGTCGCTGCGGTGCGCTGGTCCACGTGTCCTGGTACAACAGCGGCGCCTCGACCCGCTCGGGCAGTGGCGACGTTGTGGGCTGTCACACGCCACCGTATGCGCAGGCACCCACACGCACGGGGTTATTTGGCCGCGTGCACGCGGTGCGCTCGAGTTCGAGAGGCGTACCACAGAGTTGGAGTGGAGGAGCAGTCGCCCGTCTTCCCAGATCAAGACCCGACCGTCGGCGTCCTTCCAGTTCTTTGCGTTCTTGCCCGAAAACTATGATCGCGGTGTGATTGGTGGCGTAAGGCAAGGCCCAATGATGTGGAATGCAATATGATCGATGCTGATAAAAGACAGCTGTGGCGCACCTGAAGAGGCATCAATTTGGCGCGCAGGCTGCTGCTGTAGAGGGCCCACATCGAGAACTTGGTCTCCTCCCACGCGAAGGCCGGCTTGGCCGACGTCAGGCTCACAGCGCTCGGTTCGTTCTTGACATTCACAAATCGCTTCAGTTGAGCAATCGCGAACGATGCTCATGAAGACGATGATGAAGATGATGAACACGATGGCGAGCTGTACCTTCCAGGCGTCGTTGACTTCGGGTCGGTTGGCAAGTATGGTGAGCTGGCCCTGGAGATACAGCAACCCGCTGCCGGTGTTGAACGAGATTATGTCGAACTCGCGCAGGTCCTTCGCGCTGACCAGGCCCGCCACGTCGCCGATCAGGGTGTCGATGTCGCCCCACGCCCAGTGTGAGAAATCGCCTGCAACAACACCATTACCATTACCATTACCATTAGCATCGTCGTCATCATCAACCACCATCATCACCATACCATCAATCATCATCACTCGATTGAAGGTCTTTCGGGAGATGGTACCGATGATGTCATGGAAGGCGGCACCGAAGAGCGGTTTGTAGACCCCCACCTTTCGTGGGTTGAGGCTGAGCAGCTTCTTCACGTTGGCCTCATCTCTCTCGTTCACCAACGCACTGCCCAGTCCCTGAAAAGAGAGAGAGAGAGAGAGAAGAGAGACCACCTGCTGATCAGTGTACGGGCCGATCGTGATGGATTCGCGCGTGCGCACACGAACCCCTTTGAGTACGGTCAGCAGTCGCCCAGCCACCTCCCCCTCCTTGATGCTCACGTAGTGGATGTTGTCCGCCTGCACTCTACAAAGAGCAAACCAAGAAGAAGTCGAAGAAGCAGAAGCAGAAGAAGATGTAAGTCTTGTCCATACCACCACACGGCCAACACAACACACGAAGGGTCATTGGGGTCTACGCACTCGGGGAGGATCATGGTGGCGTTCTCGTAGACGAGGAAGAGGTGGAGGTGGGGTGCGGACGCGGCCACGGTGCGAAGGCAGAAGGTGGCGTAGCGCGGCATGGCCGGGGCCGCCAGGAAGGGCACCACCCACGCCACTCGCTGGTCGGCGTCCCATCGACTTGCTCGTCCATCAGGCGGCCGGCGGAGTTCAATGTCCGACTCGACAACAGTGCCTGCACTGACAATGACATGAGAAGATGAAAGAAGAAGAAGAAGATGACGCGTGAAGCATGGAGGGAAAAGTCGATGGAGGAGTCAAACCGGCGGACGGGAGTTGTTCGTGGGGGAGGGCGTAGAGGAAGACGAAGAAGATGAGCAGGAAACAGGCAGCCACTGCCAGCGGCCACCACTCCTTCCACCCCGTCCGCGACTGTTTCAAGGTACCCCTCATGATCTTGTTTCTTTTAAAAGAGTATTTATTTACCGGAGATAACTATTTTAATTAATTAGCTGGCGCATTTCGTTTTTCTTTATTTTTCTCTTTGACCCAGTCGCGATTTGGTAGCTTGGACCTTTATGGTCTTGTTGCGGTCAAGGGACGCACTGTGTTACCGATCTAAGAAAGAGGAAAGATGAAGTTCACGACGTGGATGATGATTAGCGTGGCCGTGGTGCTGGCCTTCTCGGCCCACCTGGTCTCCGCCGCCCCCCGCTCGGCCTACGACCCCGCGGAGTGCCCCATCTGCGAGTTTGGCTGCCAGGCCATCGGCGGCTTACTGGCTCAGAACTTCACCACCACGGAGATAGTGTTGGCTCTGGAGATGATCTGCGCGCTGGCTCCCGAGCCGCTGGCGACCACCTGCCACCAGTTCCTGTCCAACACCCTGCCCGTCCTCTTCCAGGCCATCTCTAGCGGAAAGACCGCCGAGCAAGCCTGCGAACTCGTTGGCGCCTGCCCCTCCTCCTCGGCTGTCATCATCAACCTGCTCTCGAAAACTGCTCGCATCAACAATTGATTGTAGGCCAAATCAAACCCAATATTACACTTCTCGAAGAATCCCCATCTGGCATAAGGTCCTTCCATGGTGGTGGAGAGCTTCTTCATGTAAACTCAATGCACCAAATCAAGGGAGAGTGCAGTGTTGAGTTCAGCTCACAGGCCCATCGCCAAGTTCCCCTCAACAGCCTGGTCAGCAGTGCGCCACAAACACCACTACAGCTATGACATCGGCTCAGTGCTGGAACATTTGCCAACTCAGCGCCCGTCTGAGGCCAGACGACAGACTGGGTCTTTTGTTTTTAATTTTGCTGGACCAAGTCGACACAAATGACGCAGAGCGAAACAACATTTACATTTACAAAGATAGGTTGCATCACGGCTTGCCAGAATGGGGCAGGATCTGACCAAGCTCACACCAGATGAGCTCAAGGCTCGCCAAATCAAGGAGATGGATGCTGAAATGAAGCAGAAGCTCCAGCGCGGTGCCAACTACAACAGTTACTTCCCTCCCTTTTAAATTTGTTGCGATTATTAATCGCCAATGTTGGACATGCTCGTCTTGATTGATTATTTCTTATTCTTCTTTAAATCAATTGAATTAAGTGTCTAAATTTGTGGAGACTTACACTGCTTTGTGTGTTCGGGGGCTACACCGCGAATAGTGAAAGTTGTGATCAAGGGAGACAAGAACACGGGCAAAACGTGCCTCTGGCGTCGGCTGCAGCGAATGTCGTTTCTAGAGGACTACCGCAGCACCGAGCAAATACAAATAGCCACCATCGCCTGGGACTACAAAGGTACACACCACTTTTCTGCCCCGCACGCACACGCACCACCGCACGCACACCTGTATGCCCCGCACACGCACACACCACCGCACACGTGTTTTTCCTGTGTCTTGTGTGTGTTCTCACCAACCTCGCTTGGCGTTGGAAACAACAACAGCTACGAGCGATAAGATTAAGGTGGAGGTCTGGGACGTCGTAGACAAAGGTACGTACTGTTCGGTGGTTGCGGTGGTCGTAGCGTCCATGTCGTCGGTCATATGGACTGACTGGCGGGAGTACATGATTGCAGCGTCGAAGCGGAAGGAGAGCGGCAACCTGAAGATCGGGATTCAGGGCGAGGACGGCCTCGACGTCGACCTCTCCGACGACGATGACGAAGAGCGCAAGACCCCGAATCTGCCGGCGACGACGCCCGGCGTCAACCCGCAGGGCAGCTTTGCCGTGGACAAGCTCGACGCTGGTACGTTTTGCAGCACTGTGCGCAGCAGCCGTCCTGAAACTCTGGCGCGCGTATTAACCGTGGTTCAACACACACACACGACCACACACACACGACACACACACGACACAGAAACGGTGAATGTGTACAAGAACTGTCATGCCGTCTTGTTCCTGATGGACCCGCGCAAGAAGTGGACCTTCGATTACATCGAACGCGAGCTGCCCAATGTGCCCAAGAGCACCTTCGTCCTCATCCTGGTACGCACTGCACTATTACGTTGTAATTATTCAATATCACACTAAATATTGCTACAATTTTATATTACACTAATTATTACAACAACATCATTTGTTTTTTTGCTATATTATTATTTTATTGATTTTATTTATTGGGCTGACCTTGATGTGCCACCAGGTGAACTACAAGGACGTACCACAGAACCAGAGAGTGATCAGCGAGTACGAAATGCAAGAGTTTGCCAGAAATGCCGGTACGGCGCCCACACCACGCACGCACACACGCACACGCACACGCACGTCCGTCGCGCATCGCGTGCGAGCGTCAGCCTGATCGCACAGCTTGGCTACTGCAGGCAAGTTCGTGCGGTGCTTGGAGTGTTCGATGCGAAACTGCTACGGCATGAAGGGAATTCGCTGCTTCTTCAACCTGCCCTTCCTCAAACTCAAGGTACCGGCGCTTGCCAGAGCTTTGCTTGCGTGCGCACGGCAAGAACAGACAATTTCCCCTATTTGTGTACACAAATTCCATTTTTTTAATAATTATAAATAATTATAATTATGTTAAAAAATTATAATAATTCATGTCTAATCGCAAATTTTGTTATCTGCAGCGGCAATACATCATTCAACAGCTCAAGGAGAACGAAGCCGATCTCGACGCTGCCGATCAAGAGCTCGATTTAGTCAACTCCGAACAGAACTACGATTTGTACTTCTCTGCTCCACTTTTCGTCGAGCGACACGCACACGCACTACCGCACACGCCGCACACGACACACGCCGCACACGACCGATGATTGACAGTGTGTTTGGTTGTGCAGCTATCTCAAGTGGCTGGAGGAGAACCGCAAGAACGTGAAGGCCACCGCACAGATGACGTCGGTGCTTCCCGACGGACCTCCCCCGCGAGCCGCCATCGGATCCTCCAAGGGCACCGTACGCCTCCCATCTCTCTTTTTTAGTTGATTTATTTATTACTATTATTTGTTATTTTGAAATTATTCATCCATTTATTGTTTTTTTATTATTTATTTACACGATTTCGGTTTCCAGGAGGTGACGGCGGCCTCGCTCACGGACGATCCGAAGATGAATCGCAGCCGGAGCGCGAGCGTGCCCCAGAACCCCGCGGCGGGTGGACCCGCGCGTCAGCCCACACCTGCCAAGCAGCTGCCCGCTCCGGTGGCCAACACCGCCGGTACCCGCCCTGCCTATTTATTTATTGATAATACGATATTCATATTATTTATTATTTAATATCGAGTGTTTTTTAAACGTGTCATTTTTTCTTTTTATGCCGCTTGTGGTGGCGGCCCACGAAGTGAGGGGAGGCGTGGGACACGGCGGCTTTGGCTCGTATTCGCACGCCCTCCCGAAATCCACCAACTCACAGCCACCGACCACCCAAAGTATCTGCGCGGCTTCTGTCATGCGTGTCGTGTCGTGTCGTGTCGTGCGACGAGTGTGTGCGTGTGTCATTTCTTTCGCTCATTGGCGCGCGCGTGTGTGTTCATTCAGCCCCGGCCGCCAGTGCTCGCCCGACCCAGCCGCCTCAGCCGACCACTCCCCAACGTGCCCCGGCCGCCGCCGTGCCACCAGCTCAGGCCGAGGCTGCCAAGACCGCGCCGGCAGAGGGCGGCGGCCTCATGTCGTGGACCTCGAAGCTCTTCTCCTCCTCCGCCGCCTCGCCCGCCAAGCCCGCCGCCACCGCCCCCAAGCGCGAAGTCCGCGACGGTACGACCGCATTCCTTTCATTCCTTTATGAAATTGTGTTTCATGTTTCGTTTCGTGTTTCGCTTTGTTTCAGTGGTGGCGGACTTGCAGAAGCTGGCCAAGGACCCGGCGGCTCGGAGTGCCCAGACCCCGTCCTCGGTCGAGGACTTTGTGCCGCCGACCGAGGGTGGCGGCGACGACTTCTGGGGCGGCGACGACGACGACGATGACGACGACGAGCAGAAGGCCAACGCCAACGGCGACTCAGACGACGACGACGGCCGCTCGCTCATCGCCAAGGACGAGGATTTGGACGACGACGACGACGAAGAAGAAGAAGAAGAGGTGTCGCCGGCGGCGGCTAAGGCCAAGGCGAAGAGGGAGCGCGAGGAGCGGGAGAAGAGGGAGCGCGAGCGCGAGCAGAAGGAGCGGGAGCTGAAGGAGAAGGAGCGGCAGCGGAAGGAGCGCGAGGCGGAGCGCGAGCGCGCGCAGGCAGAGGCCCTCCGCCGCCAGTTCGAGCAGCAGGAGGCCGCCGCCGCTGCGGCTGCTGCGGCCGCCAAGCCCGGCGGCGACTACAAGCAGGTCAGCGATGACGACGACGACGATGATGACGTCACCGCCGACGTTGACTCGACGCCGTCGGCAGCGCCTAACGGCCACAAGCCCGCGGAGAAGCCCAAGAAGAAGGAGAAGTCGATCTGGGGCACGAAGGAGGAGGACAGCGATGACGACGACGATGACGACGATGACAACGAGGCGTGGGGCCTGCCCCCGAAGAACAAGAAGGACGGCGCCGCCGCGAAGAAGAAGACGAAGAGCAATCCCTTCATCGTGACCAACGACGAGGACCTGCCCTCGGATGACGATGACGACGAGAAGCCCGCCAAGCCGAGCATCACCTCCGCCTCCATGGGCGTTCTCCCCAGTACGCGCACGACCCTTGTCGTCCCTTTTGCTGACGTGGCACATTTCACAGCTCACCGCGTGTCGTGCTGCGCGTGTGTGTCGTGCGTTGCAGGTGCGACGACGAGCGTGAGCGAGAAGGAAAGACGAAGGGAGGAGAAGGAGCGGGAGAGGGAGTCACGCCGGAAGCGCCGCGGCGTCAACGGCAGCTACGGCGATCTGGCCGACGCGTCGAAGGGCGAGAGCTCGTCCACGCCGGAGGGCGAGCGCAAGGAGCGCAAGTCGCGGCACCGCCACCGCGGCGAGCGCGGCGACGAGGCCACGCCGGAGGGCGAGCGCCGGGAGCGCAAGTCGCGGCATCGGCACCGGGGCGAGGGCGGCGAGACGACCAGCGGCAGCGGCGAGCGGGAGTCGCGGCGAAGCAGCCGTAGCAGCAAGCGGTCGCACCACCGCTCGCGTTCGGCATCGCCCACCCCACCATCGTGATGATTGTGATCATTACTCGCATGTTTCCATCTTCTACAAAAATCGCGATTGTTGCAAGAATCCAAGCGAATTGAAATGAGCGTTTCATCTTCAACTGTTATCACAATGAAAGCATCTCACTGAGATACTGAAGCGGGGGTGAGCTTGGGGAAGATGGGCAGGACGACGGTGTGGATGGCGGGCACGACGTAGCCCTCCATGACGGTGTCGATCTGGGGCTTGAAGGCCCACCACAGCAGAGCGAAGACAACGGCCGGCACGAAGAAGCAGATGATCGACCACACCCACGAGAACCAGCAGCTGCTCTTTGTGGCGCACTTCGATTTGGTGGAAGATGACGTCGCCGGGCTGGCCTTGGACTTCTTCTGCTTCTTGCCACTGCCGCTGCCGCTGCTGCCATTGCCTCCCTTCTTGCTGGGCGTGCTGCTGCCGCTCTCGCTGACCTGCTTTCGCTGCTTCTTGTTGTCTCCCATCTTCGCACAATAAAAACAAAGAAATAAAATGGTCGAATAAATGAACATAAATAAATAAATAGATTTATTTATTGGATTTGGCTTCCTGCAGTGCTGTTGTTGGTGCGCCGGTGGCGGGCGGTGGGGGCCTTTTGCTGGCCACGACGTGGGGGTTGCCCTCAACGAACTGGCGCCACCCATACATACATCGGTCAGAGTTGCACTCGGCCGCTACGCACTACGCAAGGGAGGTCTTGG